CCATCCAGTGACATCACATTGTTTTTAGGACAAATCCCAAAATTCTGAACAGAGTCTACAGAACCTGGATGATGTCATCTGGGTCTCCTATCTCCAGACTTTTCCAGTGCCACTCATATCACCACCATCTCTCTCTCTCTCTCTCTCTCATATCACCACCATCTCTCTCTCTCTCTTTTTTTTGGTTGCAGCTGTTGTTTCTAGCAGGCCCAGGCTGGGCTTGAACCTGCCAGCATTGGTGTATGTGGCTGGCACCCTACTCACTGAACTACAGGCACTGAGCCTCACCACCATGTCCTTTTTTTTTTGAGACAGAGCCTCAAGCTGTCACCCTGGGTAGAGTTCTGTGGCATCACAGCTCACAGCAATCCCCAACTCCTGGGCTCAAGCGATTCTCTTGCCTCCGCCTCCCAAATAGCTGGGACTACAGGTGCCTGCCACAACGCCCAGCTATTTTTTGGTTGCAGCCATCATTGTTGTTTTGTGGGGCCGGGACGGATTTGAACCCGCCAGCTCAGGTGTATGTGGCTGGTGCTTTAGCGGCTTGAGCCATAGGCACCGAGCCTCACCACCATGTCTTAATAGGCTATTTAATAAATCAAACAATAAAGAAGTCAGTAGGAATGTAAAATGTGCACACTGTGAAAATCCTCAAAAATAAAAACAAAAAAATCTCTTTATGAGAAAAGTAGCAGCAGATATTAACAAATGGAAGAATACACCAAGCTTGTAGCTGAGAAGAATTAACATTGTCAAACTGTCTATACTTCCCAAAGTAATCTACAGATTCAATGCAATCCCCATTAACATACCATCAGCATACTTTAAAGATTTGGAAAAACTAATTCTTTGTTTTGTATGGAACCAGAAGAAATCCCGAAGAAATAGCCAAGGCAATTCTTAGTAATAAAAACAAAGCCAGGGGCATCACCCGACCACACTTTCAGCTATACTACAAGGCCATAGTGATCAAAACAGCATAGTATTAGCACAAAAGTAGAAACATTCACATTTGGAACCAAATACAAAACCATGAGATGAAACTAACCTCTTATAGCCACTTGATCTTTGATAAACCAAACAAGAACATATACTGGGGAAAAGAATCCCTATTCGATAAATAGTGCTGGGAGAACTGGATAACTACATGTAAAAGACTGAAACTGGACCCTCACCTCTCACCACTTTCAAAAAATTGATTCAAAATGGATAAAAGGTTTAAATCTAAGGTATGAAACAATAAAAATCCTCGAAGAAAGTGTGGAGAAAACGTGAAGTTATGGGCCTGGGGAAAAATTTTATGAAGATAACTTCCATGGCAATTGCAACAACAAAAATAAACAAATGGGACTTAATTAAACTAAAAAGCTTCTGTACAGCTAAGGAAACAACAACCAAAGCAAATAGACAACCTTTGGAATGAATGGTAAAAGATACCTGCATATTATGAATCGAACAAATACTTGATAACTAGGATCTACAAAGAACTCAAATTAATCAACAAAAAAAGAGCAAACAATCCCATATCACTGGGCAAGAGATATGAACAGACCTTCTCAAAGACAGACAAATGGCTAACAAATATATGAGAAAATACTCATCATCCCTAATTATCAGAGAAATGCAAAGCAAAACTACCTGAGATACCACCTAACCCCAGTAAGAATGGCCCATATCTCAAAGTCTCAAAGCTGCAGATGCTGCCGTGGTTGTGGAGAGAATGGAACACTTTCACACTGCTGGTGGGACTGCAAACTAATACAACCTTTTTGGAATGAAGTATGGAGAATCCTCAAAGAACTCAAATTAGACTACCCATTTGATATTGTAATCCCATTACTGGGCATCTACCCAGAAGAAAATAAATCCTTTTATCATAAGGACATTTGCACTAGACTGTTTATCACAGGCTCAGTTTACAATCACCAAAACATGGAAACAACCTAAATGCCCATTGACCCAGGAATGGATTAACAAGCTGTGGTATATGTATACCATGGAATACTATTTAGCCACTAAAAAGATGGAGACTTTACATCTTTTGCATTAACCTGGATGGAGGTAGAACACCTTCTTAGTAAAGCATCACAAGAATGGAGAAGCAAGAATCCAATGTGCTCAATTCTAATATCAAGGCAGTAGATAAGCTAATACCAAGAGGGGGTTGGGGAATGAGCAAGTGGAGAGAGAGGAGGAGGAAGGAGAATGGGGGGTCATGGTGTATGGCACGCCTCTTGGAGGGGTGGGATACAATTATGAGAGGGACTTTATCTAACAAATGCAATCAGTGTAACCTAATTCTATGTACCCTCAATGAATCTCAAACAATAAAAAAATATAAAATACACCTTATTAAAAAAAACCTCTTTAGATGTTACAAATCAAATGACTTTTGTTCGTAATTTAAAGCCAGTCCTTATTATTCATATTTATCAGAAGTTGTTCTGAAATACTGTGTGTTACTATGAGGCTACAGTTTATCACTTTGGAAGCGAAATTGGAACTCAAATTGAAAAGATGCTATTCTTCTCAGAGAATGAAGTCACTAGACTTTTGTAAGATTCCAAAAGTTCCCAGGATTTTCCAGCCCAATAAAAAAAAACTAATGAGGCTTTAGCACATTAGGATCTAGATTTTTATTTTGCCAAGTGGAGCTATTAAAGCAAATCCCACACACATATACCTCTACCACTATTTTATTTTTAAAAAGAACATTTTAATAACAACAAAAATTAGAAGTCCATAAAATTAGAATAAAGGCTAACATTCTAAATAAGTAATTTTAGTTTTATGCCCTTATTATTATTATTATGTTTTTTTGAGACAGAGTCTCACTATGTTGCCCTGGGTAGAGTGCTGTGACATCAAAGCTCATGGCAACCTCAAACTCTTGGGCTTAAGTGATTCTCTTGTCTCAGCCTCCCAAGTAGCCAGAACTATAGGCACACACTGCAATGCCTGGCTATTTTTTATTGCGGTTGTCATTGTTTTAGATGGCCCAGCTTCCCAAACTGACACTAAATTTTGACAACCACTGTTCTAGACAACCACTATTCATGGAGAAGCTGTTGATTCTTCTTGTTCTGAAAACAGTTATTAAAATACTTTTGCTAGAAAAAGTATTGAGGAAGAAAAGGGCAGTAGTCCCTGACATCTAAAACTACTTTGAGGTTTATAGCTAGACTTCGATATTATTACACAAGCTGGTCTGACACTCAAGTAACATCTATTCTCTTAGACATAAACAATCTCAGAAAACCCCCACTTCAGATAAGGTTATTTTGAGACACCATACAGTGAGACAAAGTAATGACACTTCATGATTTTGTCTAAGCACAGACAAAGAACAAGGGCATTGTGCAACCCACAAAATACCAAATACTTCCTCCTCTTGCAAAATTAATGACTGTTAACTTCTTTACCCAATCACAGAATTGCCCCACTTTTTAGAAGCAGCCTATCTAAAGCTAACCCATGATTCCTGACCTACCCTCAGATCACACAACCACAGCTCAATTTCTGTCATAGGTTTTGTCCTAACCCATGGTTGCTCATGGTGTGCATTCCACCTTGCCTCAAAAAATACTAACCCCAATTTTGAATGAAGGGCACTGGCAGTATCAAAGTACTGACTTCTTTAAAATTCCCATAATGGCTGGGTGCATGGTTCACACCTGTAATCCTAACAGTTTGGGAGGCTGAAGTGAGAAGACTGCCAAGGTCCAGAGTTCCAGACCAACCTAAGCAAGAGCCAGACCCTTGTCTCTACTAAAAATAGAAAAAAATTAGCTGGGCATGATGGCTCAGGCCTGTACTCCCAGCTACTTGGGAAGATCACTTGAGCCCAGGAATTGGGAGGCTTCAGTGAGCTATGGTGACTGCACTCTAGTCCAGACGCAGAGCAAGACCCTGTCTCAAAATAGTAATAATCATTTCCATAGTACCAACTACTTGGTGCAAATTAATTCCCTTCCCATACCAAAGCAATTTTTTTCCTTACAGCCTTTCAATACTGTATACATGTATATACTGGGTATTTTTCTATTATGTACTATTACTATGTATATACTATTCTGCTTTTATCTGCTTAACATTATGATGATTTTTAATGGCTTAATAATATTCCACCATGATTTTATTCTTCAAGCATTTCTCCTTATAGAAATAAAAAGAGGAGAATGTACATCCTGCTAACACTTTCAGTATTCTACCTAAGCTGGTTCAAAACCATTTTCATCTAGCCTCAGGTCAGCTGCACCCAGGTTCCCGTTTAGCCCATCTGTTGGCAAAGACATAAGTAGTCTTATTGCTTTTAAAGACACGAATTATGAAAGAGCACTGGGCGTCAAGAGGCTTTAGGAATGTTTCATAAACAATACTGTAACCTCTGGCTAAAGATTTTGTCCCTTAGGTCTACTTCCTTGTCTCTCACTGTCTCTTGCATTGAGGAAGTCTCGCTTGTGGGAAAGAGCCACGGGACAGGCGTTCCCATGACTCTGGAGTAGAGGTTACCAGGGGGGACCATGCCGGAGCCAACCAGCTCTGGGGCCGCTTGCCACCACCCAGGCTTGGGACCAATCGCCTTTCCTAGGGCCCAGCAGAATCCTCCGCTGGAACTTCAGGAGAAAACACCTGGCCATCAAGCAGTCTGTCCCTTGATTGAGCAAAGCACACAAACAGACCGGAACATTTTAGTTAAACACTTCAAAATCCAACAACCTGGAACAGGTTGTTCAAGTACAATCACTCAAAGATGAGGATATACAAATCACACCCAGCCATTCCGAACAGATCAGGATTTCTCTAAAAGGTGTTCTAGTTCCAGTCAGTATCGAAACCAACCGCGGATGGGGTCCACCAGCACGCTTTGCGCCCACGCCCCTGTGCGTGCAGGAAACTACAGCCCCAGAGGGGATGCTGCCCCGGGCCCCGCCACACCTGCGCCAGCATCTGCGCCTGCACCTGCACGCCCCACTCCGCGCCGGCCTCGGCTCACTTACCGGCGGTGCGTGTTGCGCCACTGTATAGGTGACGGCAGCAGTCAGCAGGACCAAGCGGAGGTGAGTCTGGCCCAGCATCTCTCCAGTGCCGATGCCGCTCCGCTGAGCGCGAGAACCACCTGTGGCCGGCGAAGGCCGCGCCCCGGCCACCGCGTGACCTGCGACCCGGGACCGCACCACTTGGGGCTGGTGGGGGGGGAAGAGGGACTAAGCCGAAGGGAGAGGACGGGACTTTCAGTGTCGTAGAAGGGGTGGTGGGTAGAGGGAACCTTCTGGGCTGCAGAAGAAACCCGCAGACCGAGAGTCAGCCCTCGCGCTGAGAGCGTAGGGTTGTCCCCCCCCCCGCCCGGGCAGTGGTTGGGCCGAACCATAGCCCCGCCCCTCGGGGGCGGGGAAACTTTCTACCCTCGGCCCAGCCAGAGGAGGTCACCGGGGAGCGCGCGCTGGGCGCGTGGGGCGGGGCGCGCTGAGGAGAATGCGGGAGAGACAGGGGCGCCTCCCGGGGGCTGTCGCTGCTGCTGCCCCTGGGCAGCGTCCCGGAGCCGCGAGGTCTGCGCGGGGGCCGCTCAGTGCCTACTGCCCACGAAACGGACCTGAAGAGTCTCCACGCGCGAGGTAGCATCCGCTCTTGACCTATGTTTGCCCTTTGTGGGAAACTCACCCCGACCTGGGGTCACGGGACAAGGTTCAGCTTGAGTGACCGGGATGGGGATGGGGTGGGGGGGCCTAATGTAGTCCCCTTGACGCGCCACCCCATCAGGTTCTGGCAAATTAACTGACAAGTCACAGAGCTGAGGCTCCCGCTACTGGCGTTTAGACTCGGGCGGAATGACCCGGGAGACCAGGCTGACCTTGTCCCACTTTTGTACGCGGCGGTCGGGCGGAACTGAACTCGAGCGGGCCGGAGGGTCGCGCGGGCGCGGGCGCGGGCGCGGGCAGACTGAGGGGCGCTCGCCCGCCTTCCGTGCGATGGATGCAGGGACGCTGTCCAGTTATTAAAAGTCCCACAGGAAATCTTGCCCTCTGGTTGCACTTCCTGATTGAGCCTCTCACATCCCAAGCACTATTCTTTTAATGTTTCGATATAACTGGGAACACTATCCCTAAAAACTATATATATATATAAAATATGTATGACGATTTTATTATATATGTTTTATTATGTGTAATTTTTTTGCGCACGCATGCAAGAGGAAAAAAAGGAGACTGAGAAAGAAGAAAATTACAGTTTTGTCCATTTGCATTACTTTTTTTTTTTTTTTTTGAGAC